GGCCGGAGTCCATACAGCAGCGCGTTTTGAGCGAGTGAGTGTCGGGCTTCAGCGATCCCGGGCCCCACGGGAGAAGGGGTGGGTAGTCCGGCCGTCGCGATGGGAGACTCTGTGCGGCGGCGGAGTCGGGCTCAAGGGTGCGACGGCGCCCGGCGCCCTGGGTGAGGCACAGGACCCCGCTAGTGTTGGGGCCGCCCTGCCTTGGACTGCGGTCCGGGAGCGGCGCCCGGTTCCACGGCAGCCTCTCGGAGCTCTTAACCTGGCTGCTCCCCAACGGCCGCGCCCAGCCAGCCTCCAAGGGTAATAAGGCTTCTAATACCTTCTAGATTGGGAGCCTCTCGTGAGAAAGTGTTACCTACGCTTTTCCCCGTATCAGTGCCTTCTCCCCGACTTTCCTTAAATGATTGCCCTCTTTTGTGTGGTGTTCAGAAGACAGTTTTTAAAAAGATTTTTTATTTATTTATGCATACAAAAACTGGGACACAGGCCAGAGGTGTGGAGGGTGAGAGGATTCACCAGAGACAGAGTGGATAGCAGAACAGGCAGACTGACTGAAATACACTGCTGAGGGGAGCAGTGAGCACAACTGGAGAGGTCTGCTGCACCATCTCCCTGGCAGGGGATTGAACTCGTGCTGCAGTGACTGGGATAGTGCGGAGACTCAACCCCTGCACCACCTCGTTTGCCCCTCAGAAGATATTTTAAAAGAAGCCCTTGGCCTTGGAGCAGCTCTGGGGTTTGGACCACGTCATGGAGGAGTTGCCTGAGCAGATGTCCCGGGAGCCCGTGTCCCTCTCCCAACAGCAGGACAGCAAGGGCGAGGGGCTGACTTCGCTGGTTAATCTTCATCTATATTTTGTCCTTCAGCCGCGGCCCTGGATCAGATAGATACTTTAGTCTTACACTTAGAATTGTCCGGGTACAAAACTACTTTTTTGTTTAGCCAAAACTCTAGTATATATCAAGCCTGTGATTAATGTTTCCTTTGACTGTTGACCAGCAGCAACACTGTCATAGCGCTGTCTTGAAGATCTGTCATTCCAGCATCTGTTAAACTTCTTGGCTCTTGGAGCAGCTCAGTAAATGCTGTGTAAATAAACAAATGAATGAACCTAATTAAGAGTGACCCATACCCCCAAATACCAGGAAAAGAGCAGATTCCTCCTGTCACCCTAGCCAAGCTCCCCCTCCCTTTTAAAAAAAGATTTATTTATTTATACATACAAGAACTGGAGTACAGGCCAGAGGTGTAGCGGGTGAAAGGATTCAGCAGAGACAGAGTAGGAACAGAGCAGATTGACCGAAATACACTGCTGAGGGGATCAGTGGCGAGTCAGGAGAAGTCTGCTGCACCATGTGGGAAGCTCCCTTGCTGGGGATCGAACTCGTGCTGCAGTGGCTGCAGATAGCTTCACAGGTTGCATCTTAACCCCTTGCGCCACCAGGAAGGCCCCATTATCATTAGGGAAGATATATTTTCCACTAAAAGTCAGAACTGCAAGAGAGTATCTTGCCTGTGAAATACAATAGACAAGTCAGCCACCTGCTGATGGAGAATGAGGTTAAACTAGAAATATCCACATTTTAATTTCATTGCCATCTCATTATTATCTGGTATGTTAAAAAAATGGACTTGAATAATCTAATTGGGGACAAAGGTTTAGATAATCTCATTAATGACTTTGAGATGGCCTTTGTTGGGACGGGGGTTCCTTCATTCATTTGGCCTTCTAATTATGTGTTCAGGCTAATTTTTAACTCAACAAGTATTTGTAAAGTAGTTGTTATGAGGTGCTGAGATTAAGTTGAAAGCCTATTAAGCCCACCAATAGGCTTAAAGTTGAGTTGCAATAGTTGACTAAGAGAGACTCTGGGACAATTAACAATGTAGAGAAGAGTCCTGTGAACTGGACAGTGGCCCAGGAAGCCTTGGAAAGATGTATGAATTTGGCCTTGAAAACTTTAGAGGAAGAAAGGAATCAGATTTTATTTTTTTTTTTTTAAGATTTATTTATTTATGCATGCAAGAGCTGTAGTACAGGCCAGAGGTATGAGGGGTGAGAGGATTCACCAGAGACAGAGTGGGGAACAGAACAGGCAGATTGACCGAAGTACACTGCTGCGCCATGTGTGTTGCTCCCTGGCGGACCAGAGGATCGAATTCATGCTGCAGTGGCTGAGGACAGCTTCATAGGTTGTGTCTTAACCCCCTGCGCCACCAGGGAGGCCTGAAAGGAATCAGATTTTAGATGAGAGGCATAGGCCCTTACCACAGGCTCCCTGCTAGTCTTTACAAGAAGTGGCCATATTGCCTTCCTAAAATATTCATTCATGTTAGTTCAGTGTCCACTGAATTTAGTCTGTACTTCTTAGTATGTCAGAATGGGGGAGCGGAGTGGCCACACTTGGGCATGGGGTATCCAATAAGTGCATGTTCATTTTTGTGAAGGGAATATTTGATGGCTGGTGGCTGGGGTGGCATGGAGTGGATGGGACCAAAGTGAGCTTTGCTGGAAAGGTGGGTTAGCTCCTTGGCTGGGGATCGAATTCAGGCCATAGCACTGATAGCGCTGAGACTTAACCCCTAGGCTACATGGGAGGCCCTTATGCATTTTTAAAGTCTACTGAAGAGGTCTATACACTGTAAAGTTTATTGGAACAAAGAAATCGACATTTTCAGAGCCTCACTGAGGGGTTAACATTTCTGCAGACTGGGCCTCCACGGTGGCGCAGCTGGTTGAGCACTGTGCTGTGAAGCTGTCCGCAGCCTCTGTAGCACTGGTTCGATTCACGGCTGGCCAGTGAGAATCCCACATGGTGCAGCAGACCTCTCCTGTTGTGCCCGCTGCTCCCCTCAGCAGTGTATTTCGGTTGTCTGCCTGTTCTGCTCCCCACTCTGTCTCTGGTGAATCCTCTCACCCTCCCACGCCTCTGGCCTGTACCCCAGTTCTTGTATAAATAAATCTTTAAAAAAAAAAACACACATTTCTGCAGACCTCATCTCAGGCTGTGGAGATTTAGAGAAGATGCCTCTTAGTTCACACTCACTTTTCCTTGCACAGGTGATGCTGACTTTAGAGGACAGGACATAAGAGTTCACCTGGGCCATAGCCCCCACCTTGAACTCCCTGGGCTACTTGTTCATATTGCTGCTCTCCATCCTTCCCTTCTGGGTGCAACCTGTTTAACCCAATGGGTCCGAGGAATATTTTTCCGTGGCCTGTTTGCGAACTGCTTCCATGTCAAATGTTGGAAGCTTCAACCTCTATCCAGTAAGGAGGGATGGAGGTGGGGACAGAGGACTGCTTGGGGGCAGAGATGACAGGGCACATTCTGTAAGGGCATATTCACTGAGTCTTCACTCACCTGCAGTGAGAGGAAAGTAGGTGGCTGAAAGGGGGCCAATGTCATGTTGACCACCAGAGTCAGGAGCAAGTGTGTCAGCATCAAAGTTTATTTCTAGGGTGGGAGGGGATCCTGCACTAGCCTGTAGGGCTTAGCCACCTCTCAGGGCTGTCATGAGCTCATACAAACAGCACCTTTTGGGTAGAGCGTAGGCATCCTCCTGACCTTTCAAAATTCCTTGCAAAACATGGCCTAGAGGGTCTTCACAACCCTCCATGCTCATATTTATGCACATTTACTCAAAATTGTGGCTGGCAGTCCTGAGTACATTATCTGCAAAGTTGCCACCTCAACTGCCTGCATTAAAGAGGTGACCCCAGGAGACTTCGGGCCTATCTCTGGTAGTAGGAGAGGAAAAGTCACTTGGGGGAAGACGGGTCAGACCATCCATGTAAGCTCTTTGACCCAGTGTCCCTCAGACTTGGTACTACTGACCTTTTGGGCTGGATAATTTCCATTGTGGGGGCTCTCCTGTTTCTTGCAGGAAAGTTAATAGCACCTTAGCTCTCTTCTGCCCATTAGATGCCAGCTGCACGACTACCTCCTTAGTTGTGCCAACCAAAATTATCTCCTGGCACTGCCAAATATCCTCTTTGTTAAGGGGTGGGGGGCACAACGGTCCCCACTGGAGGACCACCTGTTTAACCCAACGGTAGATTCTAAAATACCTAGGCCTTCCACATCTGTCTCTTTGTCCCACCCCCAGCTGTCCATCCCTTCACGCTGAGGAGGGAATTCAAACTCATTTTAACATGAGTCGGAGTCATGCTAACAGTAATCATGCCTGTTACCAAGATTCTGGCTCTGCTATTCTGGAGTCTATTTGTTTCATTCTGTTAATAACAGTGGGATAATTAAATAGGAGTGTGTGGGTTGCCTGCAGCAGTTGGAACATATTGACCTCGCAAAATTCTGCTTTTCTACTGGCAACTTAGTGTAACCAGTTCAGATGTGATTCTTCACTTTACCATGTGCAACAAATTTTATCACATTTAAAGTTTTTTAAGGGCAACTTACATAGAGGGGTCCGTGCAGCCTTGAACTGTGGGCAGGACAACACACCTCCCACCCTGTAGTTTGAGCTACTCTAATGTGGCAGTGTTACCCAATTCCCCACGTTGTGTCCATCGTACAGTTAAGACCAAATCACTGAAACACTGGTTCTTGGAACAGAGAAAGTTTATGTGAGTAGACACCTACCGAAAAGACAGGAGAAAAGTTCTCAAATCACTCCTCTTGTGGTCAGCAATGTTGCACTTTATGTGGGGTCTGGGGTTGAAAACAATGGATTTCAATTCTATTGCCTGAGGAGTGGGGTAGGGGCAAAGAAATGTGGACTTGGCTGAAGTTCATTTGGCTAGGCCTTACATGGAAAATTCACCTGGCCTTGGAGCACAGCTTAAGGTTAGTCTAAAAGCCTCCAGGCTTTGATGTGTGAGTAAAAGCAAGTCTCAGGGAAAGATACGTTTTTTCTTTCTCTTGTACTGTTCTGGTCTGAAGGCAATTTAACCATTTGGCCTCGGTTTCGGGCATGCATCAATTTCCCGCCACGCACTGCACTGGTCCTGCTCCCTCTGCTGGGGGCTCTCTTACCTACCTTTTGGATCCACCTTCAAATCTGAGTTCAGGTGCCCGTTCCTCCACCCCTCCCACACCGGCTGCAGGCCCCGCGTTCTTAGGTGAGTTCCTAATGCTGGTGCTCCTCTCCGAAGCCCTTGGTCCCTACGCCGTGCACGGGGCCCCACGGGGACTGGAATAAACACATGTTGATTGACCCACTGGGCTCCACAGCCCCTTGAGCGACGCACTGGGTCTGGAAGAGCCTTCCCACAGGGGAGAGCAGGAAGAGAGGTGGAAGTTGCCACCGGCCGAGCGGCCTAAGGGGAACAGCTGGCGGCGGAAGAGCTCCTCGCGGCAGCCTGCTCGTTTGAGGAGTCGGCCTGGACAAGCGACCATAGAGACGTACTGACCTCCAAGCGTCCTAGAGAGGAAACGGAAACGTCCTTTTCTGGCGCACCTGTCTGACAGCGTCTGCAACCCATTTCCGGCCAGTCGAGGGCACGGCAGTTCGGCGCGGGTCGGAGAGCCGGGTCTGGGCTGCGGCAGGCTGCTGGCGGGGTGGACCGGGGCCCGGGGCTGGGCTGTGGGGCCGCTGCGGGTCTGGGCGGCGTCAGAGCTGGACGTGCGGGCGGCGTGTCTCCCCGGAGCTGCCTCCCGCTGCGCCGAGGCCCTCCGGGTCGGGACGTGGGGCCACGCAGCGGTAGGCTCAGGTAGGAGCGAGGCTGATCCCGCTCGGCCAGGCTTGGCTTAAAGCTGGGTGTCCACCCACCTGAGACCTTGAATTGCAGCAGAACCCTCTGGAAAGTGAAAGTAGTCTTTTTAGAGCGAGACGTAGAACACTCATTTAAAGAGTAGCCTAATTGTCAAGAGCCAGCATTAAAAGATTGAATGAGGACCTCATTCAGGGAATCCGGTAGACGGGGACGTATTCCACTACAGTGCGATGGATTCAGTAACGCAGGGAATTAATGCAACAGTTGGAAAGTTTTGAAGGCAAAATCTCCGTTGATGCGGCAGAGAAAATGAGTAGATGGAAAATGTAAAATAGGTTTAGGAAGGGTAGATAAATACACAAATACCGGTAGAACATTAAGCAGCATTTTTGGGCTTTCCTCATTCTCTGTTCGATTTAGGGTGATCCCTCTCTAAAACCCAAGTCCCTGCCTGTCTTTGGACTTCAGGTCTGTCTGTTACAGGACAGGGAGAGGGGTTTTATATCGGGGCTGCTCCGTAACATGTCCTCCCAGTCTAAGTTTCTTCACCCCAGCAATTAAATAGTACTCATCCTCCAGTCTAGTACTTGCCTTTTCTTTCTCATCAGTACTTGAACCTCATTAATCTTTCTTTCTCCCTTTGATTTCCCATTTTTCTCATCTACACCACATTTTTCGGGAGGTAGATCGTGGCCAGCATTTAACTGCTTATATCTTCGGTCTCCATGTGAAAAGTAGGGGGAGTAGTACTCACGGAAATAATTGTAAGTTTTAAATGGAAGTGTTTATCTGCTTTCTAAATGGTCAAACCTTTGCCAGTTACAAAGTCTTCAATCTATTATGATAATAGTTGCTCTGTTTTCTTTAGGTTGAATACATCCTCACATCCAAGCCAGCAAGTCTATTGGTTTTACCTACCAAAAAGAAAAAAAAAAAGTCTTGACTTGGCTACTTTGCCACTACCCTTCTTTAAGCCCCTATCATCTCCTGCTTGGACCCCTGTAAGTGCTACTTGCCTTCTTATCCCCTCTAATCTAGTCTCTATTGTTAATCAACAGGCAGAATTAACCTTTGCAAAATATGTAGCTTCTTACTGAAATAAATAAGAGTAATGTTCATAATTGGTTTCTGAATAATTTGTTTTTTGCCTACTTCTGCCTCCTCTTGTGCAACCATTTCCCTCCCTCCCTCTACTGAAGCTGCTCTGTGCTTTGGCTTTGACAGGCTTGCAGAGTAATTTCTAGCTTTAAAACTTTTGCTTGGAATGCGCTTTGAATGTTTGGCTGTTTCTCATCCTTTGGGTCTTAGCTCTTCAGAAAAATCTTTAAGTAGATCATCCCATATTAATACCCTACTTGTTAACTTACTGGAATTTTTCTCTATTTATAATTTTGTTTGCTTACATTTGATTTTTTCTGTCTTCTGTGCTAGTATATGAGTATGAAATAGTAAGGGCCTTGCTTATCTTGTTACCTATTTCTTGTTTCTGTGGGCTTGGCATATATGTATGTATTCAATGTATATTTCCTTTAGTGTTAGAAGGGTGAGCTCTTGTGATCGACCTAATTATAACCCATCTTACATTATTTTCTGACGATAGGGTTAGCTCCCTCATGAGATCGTATGTTATTTGTGGGTGGAAGCTATATATTTTCAATTTCCCCTCCGCACATAATAAGTGGTGCGCATATATTTATTGAGTTGAATTGACATGCTTTTCAGGATGTATGTGCATACAAGAGCTGGGGTACAGGCCAGAGATGCAGGGGGTAAGAGGATCCAGAGACAGAGTGGGGAACAGAACAGGCAGATTGACTGAAATACACTGCTGAGGGGAGCAGTGGGCGAGATAGGAGAGGTCTGCCTCGCCATGTGGGTTTCTCCCTGGCTGGCCCCAGGATCAAACTTGTGCTGCAGAGGCTGCGGATTGCTTCATAGTGCAATGCTTAACCCCTTGCGCCACCAGGGAGGCCCTATGTTCAGTTTTTTAAAGGTACCTTATTACTATGTGCTCCAGCAAACTTTTCATTGCTACAGAGATAGAACTGGGATGGACTGACTCTTTTTTTTTTTTTTGTCTCATTTGTGCTGCCATCATTGTCTGTCTTATCTTCCCAACAGATCTTCAGTCTTCTGTGAGGGAACTTGAAGATGCTTAAAGAGCGTCCAGGGATGGCAGAAGATCCTCAACAGCAGTTGGGTGTTCCTGTGGTAAAACTGGAGAAAGAGTTGCCCTGGGGCAAGGGAAGGGAGGACCATAGCCCTGAGTCTTTTCGTCTGAGGTTTCGGCAGTTCCGCTACCAGGAGGCAGCTGGTCCACATGAAGCCCTCAGGGAACTCCAGGAGCTCTGTCGCCAATGGCTGAGGCCTGAGCTGCACACTAAGGAGCAGATCCTGGAGCTGCTGGTCCTGGAGCAGTTCCTGACCATCCTACCCCGGGAGTTCTATGCTTGGATTCGAGAGCATGGCCTGGAAAGTGGCAAGGCCCTGGTCGCCATGGTGGAGGACTTCACAGAGAGAGCATTGGAGGCCAAGGCGGTGGGTGAGAAGGGGGTATTGGGGTCTTATTTTGTTGGTGTGGGAAGGGAAGATTTAACAAATTGGAAGATTTAAGGAAGCAGTAGATGTGGCGTAGAATCTCCTTCCTCTGCTCCCAGACTCCTTGAGGTAATTTTTGAAGGGCAGTGGCATATTCAGCAAGAAAAGCCATTCCCAGGGAAGATGCAAAACCTGTGGAAGGGCCTTTAGCTTCTCTTTGGTCATCAGCGCAGAGACCTGTCATGTTTCTGTGAACCTGCCAAGGAGAGAAGATGTAATCGACTTCAAGGTCCCCAGTAGACTCGTTCTTTGGGCAGAAATGTGTGGAAATGCAGGGAATTCCACTTGGTGAATATTCTTACTTGGAAGAGCTGTCCGTGACAGTGCTGTTTCCACATCTGCATGTCAGCTCCTATGCTCCAGTGATTCTGTGGTATTGTTCTGGTCACACCAAGTAACTGTGTCTCAGCTGCTTCCTGGGGACTCTGCCCATATCTCTGCTGCTCCCTGCTGGATGTTGGCTGGAGATGGAGAGTGCATCACCAAATGTTACTGTTTTGCTTGCAGATAACAATCATTCTTCAGTTTTTTCCCCACTGCAGTTACCCTGACTTCTTGTATAATCCCAGGAGAGTTGTTTTTGTTTGTTTTTTTTAACTTCCAACTCAAGAATTAAGAAGTGGGTCAGGAATTGCCTTGTTTTTGTGAATAAGTTGCATTGTGAGTCCTTTTGACTTTTCTTCCTATTTTTAGGGCGTGTTTTTCTCTCCGCTACTTCACTGCATTTTGTGTTTTTTATTTCAGCTTCTGTAACTGGGGAATTTTTTTCTAGCAGTGAGTGTTTTAGAGCAAAATCTCAACAAAATAATATTTAGATGCTCTGATATTCATTTTACAATTGATCAGTATTGAGGCAGACAGAATGGAGCCCTTGTAAAAGGCATGGACACATAGAAGTTGCTGAGAACCTGATAAAGTGAGCTTAACTTCCTTTTTACCTTCTCACTGATAGCCTGGGAAGAACTGAGCCAGCTTTTTCATCCTCTGTCTTGTAGCTGGAATGGTTCTTTTCTTGGCTTTCTTTTTAGGATTTAATTTCCTTTATAACAGCCTTCCCCAGGCCATATTCTAATAGGTGTTGGGGACTGTTCATAGGTTCCATGCCACTTGCAGGGCGACCAGGAGGAAGTAACACTTTGCAGAACCCCTTGGGAACCAAGTGGCCATCTGGGGCCAGTGGAGGTCAAGCCTGAATGGGGGATGCCTCACGGAGAAGGAGTTCAAGGCCTAGACCAAGGCACTGAGGAGCAACTCAGTCAAGACCCTGGAGATGGGACGCAGGCCTTCCCGGAGCAGGGTAAGCTGCAGCAGTACCCAAGCAAGAATCTAGGAAATGATGCATTTTGCCTTCCCCCTCCACTTCCTTTTACAAAATCAGCAATTGATAGCTAAGTTACCTCCAAGGTGTAATTCTGAATTTTCCTGGCTACTTCCTTGACCTCTGTAGGAAACAGATGAAGTGACATTGTTTTCTGTAGCTTGACTTCCTGATTTCTGCAGGGAAGATCATGTTCTCATATCTTCTTTTCTCCTTTCCCTTAAATCCCTTTCAGAAATCTCTAAGCTATATGTAATTGATGTATAGGAATATTTTTTAAGGGGTCAGACAAACCATATCCCTAAAAATCATCTGTGACTATTGTGTTACTGAATCTCAAAAGGGATTATGCCCATAGTGTGACTAGGGGCTTGCATAACCTTGAAGGGACAAGGCATATTGGGTTGGGGCCATCTTCCCAGCTGAGAACAGATTAGGATGTACCTGTGCCCCTGTCTGTCTGGAGTCTTCTTACCACTCTTGGGCTTCTGTTCAGGCAGTGGACATCTCTGAACGTGCTAACTGTACAACAGCACTAATCCTTCTCATGCTTTATTCCCCTGCTCAGCTCTGCCTATTCTTCAAGCTGGTCCTGGACTCCCTGCAGTGAACACCAGAGACCAAGAGATGGCAGCTGGGTTCCTCACAACTGGATCCCAGGTGAGCTGTGCTTCTGCCCTTCTGTGAATCATAACATTGTTTGAATGAGAGTCACTCTCCCATGGATTTCTCTGCACAACAGAGTGCCATCCCCAAAGTTAAATCACTTTATTTTTCTTATTCTGTGAACATGACAGCTTTGTTTTCTTCACTTTACCATTCCATTGTTAATTTGAATTGAGCCTTATGCCTTTGGGTTTAGGTGTAAGGCTCAATCCGGTCAGTTGTATTAGTCTTGAAATTTTTTTAAAATTGACTCAGTGTTATAATTGTGAGGAGGAAGACGTTTCTGATAGAAACCCTGTAGGTGTGAACTAGGCTGTGGTGGTTGGCCAGTACTTCTATGACTCCTCCTGCTCTTCTTCCTTTGTCCCTCCTCTTCCTGCCATATCAGCAGGAATATAGCCGGCTCAAGTGGGGGCTCCGGGGGTTGCTGAGCAGATTGGTTTCTCTGGCCCCTGCTCTGACCACACCAGGAGTTTTGGTCTTGTTAGTACTTCTTAGCCTGCCATAAACAGTACAGCTAAAGCCTTGAAGGGGCTCTCTTGCCATATCATGGGATGCTGAGTGTTACTAGGGAGATGTGAATTTCCAGTGCGTCAACCTTTTGGAAAGCAATCCTTATAGAAGGAAAGCTGTCACTTGGCAGAAACAAGAAGTGAGTCAGGTCTGATCTAGTTTAAACAGTAATTGGACAAAATTTGATGCCTGTGTCACTTCCTTTTCCTGTTTTCCAAGGGTGCCATTTAAAGAAGATACAGAATGACAGCAGCATTTTTTTTTAGTATTTCTTTGAATTTTTAATTTTGTATTTATTTATTTTTATTTTATATTTATTTATTTATTTTTAATTTTATTTTTATATTCCCCATACAATTGCAACCCCCTTATTTTTTGACTCCAGTCCCTTCTTTCCTCCCCCCCTCCCCTGCCCCCAGTGTGTCTCTGGTTCATAGTTGTTTGTTGATTTTGATTTTTTCCTTTTTATAGTTATTCTTTTTCCTGGTCCCTTATTTAGGTTTTCTAGATTCCTGCTATGAGCGAGACCATCGAGTATTTTTCTTTTTCTTTCTGGCTTATTTCACTGAGCATGATCCCTTCCAGCTCCATCCATGTTGCTGCAAATTGCATGTGTTTATTTTTTTTGATTGGACAGTAGCATTTTTAAATTGGTCAGATCCTCCCACTACTGCAATAGTTCTTTACGGTGTGGTGAATGACAAAGCCTGTATTTTTTTTTTTTTTTTTAACAAAGCCTGTATTTTAATGGGGCATCATTCTTACGACAGGGATTGCTTGAATGTTTCCTGGTCTCTAAGAGAAAATTCTAGATTGGGGGATAGACAGCAGCTCCAGGCTCTAATGAGCTTGAGGATTGAGCAGAGGTTATTGAAAAGTGGAAATTGGATTCTGTGGTTTTAGCTACAAGCTAAGTGCCAGCAGCAGAGACTCAAACTTGCAAAGACTCAAACAAATCTGTTACGTGTCATTAAATTTTCAAGAGCTAGGCACCTCTGTGCCTAAGACCAAGGGCCTGGGGACTCCAATTCCTCTGTCTTGTTGTTCTGTTCTTCCCTGTTGTTCTCTAAGTTCTCTCCTGCCTTTAGACTATTTCTGCTATAAAGAAATAACTTCTGTTGTTTCAGGCATTGGGACCGTTTAAAGATATGGCCTTGGCCTTCCCCGAGGAGGAGTGGAGACATGTGACCCCAACCCAGATAGACTGCTTTGGGGAATATGTGGAAGCACAGGACTGTGGGATCGCACATCCAGGTAAGACTGTTTCCATCCCACAGGTAAGAAATGGAGGAGTTTTGAAAGCTATAGGTCAGGACACTTGCCCTTGTCCCACATTTCAGAAGTTGGTGCTATTGACAAAGACAGTGGTTTCATGCAGATGAGTAAATGGGTCTAAGGAAAGGTCATGGCCTGAGGGGTGTAAGCATCTGTCTAGTGCGTTCTTTTTTTTTTTTTTTTTAAAGATTTTTTTTTTAATTTATGCAAGAGCTGGGGTACAGGCCAGATGCGCAGGAGGGTGAGAGGATTCACCAGAGACAGAGCGGGGAACAGAACAGGCAGACTGACGAAATACACTGCTGAGGGGAGCAGCGGGCGAGACAGGAGAGGTCTGCCACGCCATGTGGGATTCTCACCGGCCGGCCGAGATCAAACCCGCACTACAGAGGCTGTGGACAGCTTCACAGTGCGGCACTCAACTGCCTGCACCACCAGGGAGACCCATGTCTAGTGCATTCTTCATTAAGAGAGGGAGAGGACAGTGGCTGAGAAAACACGAGGTAGCTATTCCGGCTCTGATGAGACAGGTCATTTGTTAGGACTACCCAGGTACCTGGTCTGTCCATGATGGAAGCATGCTGAGCACTTGAGAGCCTGAGAAAAACAGCAAAAGCTGAGCTCTTTGGGTCATTTGCTTAGCAGGTGTTTATTAAGTGCCCCCTGTGTACAGGTCCCAAGTTGGTATCTTTGTGTAAAGGCAGAGCTAAAGAACGTGAAATCTCGGCATGCAGTGTGGGTACAGGTGGCACAAGGTCGCTGCGGTAGGGTTGTAGAAGTAGGAGGGATGGGTGTGGGCCTGTAAGAACAAGCAGAGCATCACCTGCATGTCTCAAGTGGTATCTGGGCTTCAGCTGAGCTTGGAGCTGCAGGACACTCTGAAAGGACACTGCTGTGAAAGGCATTCACAGAAAGAGCAGCAGCAGCGAGAGAAACTGGGAGGGGAGTGTGAAGGGAAGTGTAGGGTGAGGGCCCAGCTGGGAAAGCCAGCAGGGTGCACTACAGGCACCTAGGAACTAGCCAAATGAAGAGCAGTGTGGGAAGTCTCTGGGCTGAATGGGGAGAATAACTGGGAGAGTAGAAGAAACGTGGCTGGGAAGGCCCCTCTCCTACGTTCCTGCATGTCCCTTCTCATCACGCTGTAAGCTGTGTACCGACCACTCATAAGTCCTGACTCACCTGGCCTTTTTTCATCTTGAAATATGTTGAGAGAGGTGTGAGAGTGTCATGCTTCCTACAGAGAACCCATCATGACTTCACCACTTCCTTGTGTCCCTAGGCATCTCACCTGACCTTTTTAGGACTCCGTTTCCTTCGTTGTAAAATGGGGATATATACAAACCACCATCTCATGACGTGAGGATTAAATGAGATAATGAATCTAAACATTTGATAAATATGGTAGTTCTAGATACTTTTTATTATTTATGTAAATGTTAAGCAATTCCTTTCAGTCAGTCAGCACATTCATTCACATTTCCCTTAGCTCCATTCCCTTGTACTTGCAGTTCTTGCATTGACAGCTGTATGGGATTGAGCCTGAGACAGTAAATACAGGTTCCATTACATGTAATATCTAGCTCATATTCACGTTTTCCCAGTGTCCAGGTATGCATTGCAATTAGTTTTAATTTTATTGGTCATACCAGCTCAAAACTGGAAACTACCCAAATGAATATCAGTAATATATTACAGTGTTGTTCTGTACACCGGTGAAAAAGAATGTAGTGTAACTACAGCTATGCACAATTGGGTGAATCTTGAGCAGAAGAGGCCAGAGGCGGTGTATGAATCAGTCACATCATGCTCAAGAGCAGGAAGAGATATTTTATGGTGCTAAAAGTCTGGGTAGCATGTTACCCTGGGACAGGATATTTGTCACTGGAAGGGGTGGGAGAGGGATTTCTGGGGACTGGTAACGTTCCTTGAACTGGATGCAGCTTACATGACTGTTCATTATGAAAATTCTTTGAACTCTACATTTGTGTCTTGTACACTTTAACCTTTATGAAAGTTTACGGAAAAACACATGAGAAGTGATTACTGTACCCTTCAAATTTTATCAAGTCAGGAGGCATGTAATATATCTGTTCTCTTCTTATCTTAAAATGACCTTGACTGAAAGGCTGTGTTGTTCTTTTAAGCACATTTGTCAGTTCCCTCTTGGCTCTCTCTATTCCCTCTTATCTTTTCTCCTCCTTTTCTTATTCTTTCACAACAATTGTTCTGTTAATTTAGAGAGAGTGTGAGAGTGGTTATAGAAGAGCTTCTGGAAGGACTAAGTTATTTCAGTGCTAGGAATCATGCCATTGTAGAGGCTTAATGGTGCAAGTATGTCAGTGACAGTCTGGCTTTCATCCACAGTCATTAAGCTTTATCCGTGAGTCATTTCCCATTCCAGGCTCCCAGGAGCCCCAGATTAAGAAATAAATTTAGGTGGAGGGAGCAACCTGAGCAGAGACAGCAGTTGAGCAAGTGGGTGGAGGATCCAGAGAACTGCAGATATTTCACCAATGCTGGAATAGGTTATAATCATTAGCAAAGAGGAAGCATCTCAATGAATGTAGAGGAGCATTTACAACAAGGTCTTGTGAGGGGGATGAGTTGCAGGATTAACAATGCTAGTGAATGCATGTGTCCTAAGAGACCTGGGGCAAGAGTCATCAGGGTGTGAGTTAGGGCCTAAAGGAAATAAAAGTCTGAATTAATACAAAGTTTAAGAGGGCATTACAGTTTGGTAGGCTATTCTGTAAAAAGGCATGGAGATGGTTGAAGACAAATGCCATAAACTAGTTGGCTTGAGCAAGAAGATTGATTTCTTACTACCCAGAAAACTGAGAAGCTCAAGGTGCCAGCGGAGTTGGTGAGGGTCTCTTCAGGTGGCCACCCCTTTGCCCTGTCCTCTCATGGGTGCTGGTGTTGGAGAGTAGTTGTGTCTCTCTTCTTCCTCTAAGGACATTATCCCATCATGAAGGATCATACTCAGGTGACCTGTGGGTGCGTGCAGAGAGAACTCTGGCTGCTTCCTCTTATGAGGACATTAAATCCATCATGAGGATCCATCCTCAAGACTGGGCCTAATTACTTACCCGCCTCCTAATGGCATCACAAATGGGACTTAGGGCTGCAGCCTCTGAATTTGGGAGGAGCACATACATTATGTACATAACAGAGATGGAAAGAAGTAAAGGAAAGCCTGATTTTAGAGCCAGTGAAAGCACAGTGTATTGAGCTTGTTGGTTAAAGGGAAGAAGGAGGAGTTGTTGGTGGGATATCCTTAGAAGACAAGTTCTAACCAGGTACTTTTTCTCTCAGAGCTACTTCAGAATCAGTCTATATCTCCTTTGTCCTATAGGAATTGGGAACAAGGAAAAGGAGGCAAAAACCCAGCCGGCAGATCTCAAAGGGGCGCTTGTTCAAATGACATCAGAGAGATTTGGGGAAGGTGCCCTCCAGAGCCCTGCACTGGGAAGAACCTGTGAGCCGGAGCCGGGTGGCTCTGTGGGAAACACGCCAGGGCTGCCTCCTCCACAGCAGGGTGTCATACCCTTGCCTGATGACCTCAAGACCCATGGCTCCTTCTGGAAGCCTTTTCAGTGCCCTGAGTGCGGAAAAGGCTTCAGTAGGAGCTCAAATCTCGTCAGACACCAGCGAACCCATGAAGAGGAGAAATCCTACGGCTGCGTCGAGTGTGGGAAAGGGTTCACTTTGCGAGAGTACCTTATGAAGCACCAGAGAACCCACCTGGGAAAGAGACCCTATGTGTGCAGCGAGTGCTGGAAGACCTTCAGTCAGCGGCACCACCTTGAGGTGCACCAGAGGAGTCATACTGGGGAGAAGCCCTACAAGTGCGCTGACTGCTGGAAAAGCTTCAGCCGAAGACAGCACCTGCAGGTGCACCGGAGGACGCACACTGGGGAGAAGCCCTACACCTGCGAGTGCGGCAAGAGCTTCAGCAGGAATGCCAACCTGGCTGTGCATCGGCGGGCACACACAGGGGAGAAGCCTTATGGTTGCCAGGTGTGCGGGAAACGGTTCAGTAAAGGGGAGCGGCTGGTCAGACACCAGAGGATTCACACTGGGGAGAAGCCTTACCACTGCCCAGCCTGTGGGAGGAGCTTCAACCAGAGGTCCATCCTCAATCGGCACCAGAAAACTCAGCATCGCCAGGAGGCCCCAGTGCAGTAAGGGTGCTCTGTGGAAACACCTGTTTTTACTAATAGAAGGTGCTGGAGGAGGGGGGACCATCAAGTAGATGGAGAGAGCTCAAGGGAGATGTCATTCATCTGGATTCCCTGAGGGCTTTGGGGCCTGGGGAAGTTGAGGCATGAAGAGGTACAGAAAGGCACCCTAATCTACTGCCATTCATTCTCAAACAGGAGAAGGGCAAGACCTGGCTGAGTTTCTGGAGAGCTCAGCTTCCTCTCTCTCTTACCCAAGTGGTGCTGACAGTTTCTCTTACCATCTTTTGGGGGAAAGATACCCTGTTTCAGTTCAGGTCAAGGTATTTCTCCTTCAGTGGCATGTTCATACCCACCTCCAGAGTCTGATAGTCAAGGCCAAATTTTGTTCCATGTTGGCAGTTTGGACCTCATTTTCCCAAGGGCTGTTCTGGAGGGCTGTTAACTCTCACTAACCCCCACTTCCAGTTGACAAGTGTTGAACACCTGGAAGTACCGTGAGTGAGATGGCTGAGACCTCATTCCCCCAGGGCCTGGGAATTAGCACAGAACCTGCACAGAACCGTTGATAACCGTGTGTTCTCAGTTACGTTTGTGGTAAGTGCTGTGCAGGGGAATGTTCTTGTGCTCAGTTGTTGCCCTGCCTGCTTGGGTGCTGGATCAGCTCCTTTCTCAATTGGTTGGGATCTTTCGGGCAGCCTTGTTCTATTTGTAGCCCTCCTTTTTCTCTGTAATGTTTACCCTCATCTGTAAAGTTTCCCCATTCCATTTTTCTCTGTACCGTAACAACTGTTTAGACCTCTGTTAGGAAATTAATATTTTGCTATTGATCACTGAATAAACGAGAGTATTTTAAAAAATATTCAATTCTGTATAAAGTTTAATTCAACGAGTCTGAAAGATGAACTAATATTAATACCCTATGTTGATGGCACTTTACAGTATTATGCTTTTCTCTGTTTTCTCACTTGATTCATCCCACAAATATTTAAAAGACCCAGGCATGTGTCATGTGCTCTTCCAGACCCTCTCGCTGCATCTCTGAATAAGATAGAGGGGAAGTTTCTGCCGTTCTGGAGTTTCCATTTCATTGAATGTATTTGCTCTTCAGAACCACCTGAGATGGAACTGTGGATGCTTCCATGAGCCCTCTGGACCTGGAATCTGAGCCTTGTCCTTGCTCCTGTCAACTTTCTGCCCTAAAAGGCATTTGCCACCTACCTCTTGTTACTTAATAGTGGCTGTCTTCCGTGCTCGAGATCCCTGTCATCTGAGAGGGGGTGGGGTCCTAGATGTTAGCCGGAGATGATGCGCTAGGAGCATCCTATTTTGCATGCGTGTCCATTCAGAAAAAATAACCACGTTTGTAGGCATTTTAAATACATTTCTCTAAAAATGAGAAGATACAATATTTGTAACTGTGTTCAAGCTTATATTACTTTACCGTTACTAAAAGGTTTCTTTTCTGTTTAAAATTTTGGAAACTGCTTAACTAGAATGGACTTTACTGCAGTGTTGCCTTTGAATGTTAGCTGCTGAGTAGCTTGTCTTTTTGTGGACAGTATTATAATTGCAAGATGTGATTGTCTTGTGGCGCCTCTTAATACTGCTTTAGTGGGATTTTTGTTTCCATTTTCCTGTGTAAATAACATAAATGGTAATGATTCTAACCGGAGAGTTGCATTCCTTAGTCAACTTTGAAACACAATTTATCACCCATTTCTTGGCAGAAAACAATGGTGTTTAATTTTGAATTAGCAAATGACCTCCTGGTCCTCATGCCCCCTCAGCTGTCCCTACAAGGCTGCACTAACCAGGGCTGCACCTTCTCAGTCATGTGAAATTCTGATGCAAATCAGTTCTTTTTTTCCTATGCTTCCCAGACCAGCCAGGAAAGTCCTAGAACCTCCTGATAGCCAAACCTAGTGGGAAGCTTTTCTTTGGCTTCTGCTTTCTGGTCTGTAGGATGCAGAGGCTGCCTTGGCCAGAGTTCGCCCTTCTCTGGGAGTTCCAGGGCAAGGCAGGGAGCATGGGACCACTAAGGGACGGGAGTCTCTCATTGGTAGTTCTTTTGTTTACCTGAATTTAATTCTCTTTGATCATTTGCTTACCAAAACAGGACTCATTTTGCAGCTGGTTGGAATCTCTTTAGATGAAGTTTCAGTAGCAGCCAGACCTTGCCATCTTCTCCTTTTTTTTTTTTTTTTTAAAGATTTATTTATTTATTTATACAAGCACTGGGTACAGTCAGAAGCGCAGGAGGGTGAGAGAATTCACCAGAGCCAGAGCAGGGAGCAGAGCAGGCAGAAGGACCGAAGTACACTGCTGAGGGGAGCAGCAGGCGGCAGGAGAGGTCTGCGTGCCATGTGGGACCCTCCTCCAGTGGCCGGGGAGCAGCCGGGAATCGAACCAGCACTGCAGAGGCTGTGGGCAGCCTTGCAACCCAGCGTTCAACCTCTGCGCCACCTGGGAGGCCCTCCTTTTTTTTTTTTTTTTTTAAAGATTTTATTTATTTATACAAGAATCGGGGTATAGGTCAGAGGCACGGGAGGGTGAGAGAATTCACCAGAGACACAGCGACGAGGAACAGAACAGGCAGACTAACGAAATACACTACTGAGGGGAGCAGCGGGCGAGGCAGGAGAGGTCTGCCGCGCCATGTGGGTCTCTCCCTGGCTGGCCGGGAATTGAACCCATGCTGCAAAGGCTGCAGACAGTTTCACAGTGCTGCACTCAACCCACTGCGCCACCCGGGAGACCCCATCTTCTCCTTTTTGGCTCCCTCGCTTTGAGGCCCAACTTTATACATAATGCCTCAAAAAGTATCAATTAAGAGAGTTTTCGTATGGAATTATAATGGCCTTATTTTTGATATCTATTCAAATGTCATTTATCACCTATATTTGTTATCACAATATTAGTTTCATACCTAAAAAAATGAACAATTCCATGTTTCCCAATTAATTTTTAAAAACCTGCATAATTTTCTGAAGTCTTCAAGTTGAGATCTCTATACTTTGTAATTGGTTGCTTTCTCTAAGCCTAATTTATAGTTTCTGTCCATTTTTTCCCTCTTAAAATTCATTCATTTAAATAGCTCGGTTATCCTATAGGGTTTCTTACATGTTATATTTTGCTATTTGTACATTATAATTTTAATGTGATGATGTTGCATGGTAATAACCGTGATGTCACAATATATCTCTACATTCTGTATTAACTAAAAAATAACAGGTCTAGAAATATAAGTAGTTTCATATCTCACATTTTTTGGCAAGAACACATAGATAACTGGTTGTTTTTATATGATGTTAGCTGCCTCAATTCATTATTTCATTATTTCTGTAAATAATTCTTCATTTATTGGAATGCTTCTGTAAGAGATTTCCACTCATTAGCTCTCAGATTACACTTAGATACAATTCAGACAGAAAGGGAAATTCTTGGTTTTTCCTTTTAGTTACTTGTTTTCACAATGATGAACTGACTGTTTTGCTTCCTGTGAGAGTGTTCAGTTATTTCTTTTTTTTTTTTTTTTTTAATAGAAGCACGTTTTATTTATTTATTTATTTGTTTGTTTGTTTGTTTATACATGCACTGGGTACAGTCAGAAGCGCGGGAAGGTGAGAGAATTCACCAGAGCCAGAGCGGGGAGCAGAGCAGGCAGAATGATGATGTACACTGCTGAGGGGAGCAGCGGGCGGCAGGAGAGGTCTGCTCGCCATGTGGGACCCTCCTCCAGTGGCCGGGAAGCAGCCGGGGATCGAACCGGTGCCGCAGAGGCCGCAGGCAGCTTCGCAACCCAGCGCTCAACCGCTGCGCCACCAGGGAGGCCCTCAGTTATTTCTTAAATCAAGAAGCATTTATAGATTTAAATGTTTGATATTGGTTAAGCTATTGCAGATGTTATTGATGTGCAGGTCATTTCACTTTTGGCCAGTGGGAGCTTCTTACACTTGACAGGGGGCTCCTTTTTACACAGTCCCAGTCGTCTTGATAGCTTTTTTGCTTTCTGGTATGACAGATGTTTGAAACACATTAGTATATTATCTGCCCCTTTTGAGAATGAAGGCTAGTGCTGTTATGTTGGGACAATGGGGTAAACCGGGACTTCAAGGCAAATGGACTTTTGTTCACCTTATAGCAGTCATATGTGGCCAGGTGTCTACAGTTCCCTCACATGGGGGTAATGCAGTGCACTTTCAGGGCCTGGCTGCATGTGCCTGATGCTGTGATGACGAGGGCGCCATTTCCAGAGGTATGGTTTTTGTAAAAGAAATCTCTTCCTATTCCCCGAGTGACGACAGAACTAACTAACTTGGCTGCCCAAGGTATGTCCTAGGGAGCTATTGCAATAAAAAATTGCTCTCAAAATGTTTGCCATGAATGTTGTCTGCAGCCTGACTAACTGCTTAAATACATTCAGTGCTTACTTTATCCCAGCCTAGGAATAGAAGAGCTATTGTTTCTTAAAAAATAAACTGATTTCAAATCCCTTCTCCACCCTGTAACATAAGATGACACTCCACTTCTGAGACAGAGAAAGTAACTGGTGAAAATGTTTCTTCACAGTATACTTTTTTTTTTTTAAAGATTTATTTATTTATACATACATACATACAAGCACTGGGTACAGTCAGAAGCGCAGGAAGGTGAGAGAATTCACCAGAGCCAGAGCAGGGAGCAGAGCAGGCAGAAGGACCGAAGTACACTGCTAAGGGGAGCAGCGGGCATGGCAGGAGAGGTCTGTGCGCCATGTGGGACCCTCCTCTGGTGGCCGGGGAGCAGCCGGGGATCGAACCGGCGCTGCAGAGGCTGCGGGCAGCTTCGCAACCCAGCCCTCAACCGCTGCGCCACCAGGGAGGCCCTCTTCACAGTATACTTTTAAACTCAGTATCTCAACCTTGGCACTATTGACATTGACAAAGACAACCTCTGTCTTGGCTGTTTTGTGCATTTGTAGCATCCTTGGCCTAAACTTACTGGATGCTAGTGGCATCCCCCAATTGCGACAACTGAGGATGGTTCCACACATTGCCAAATGGCCCCTGGGAGTGCAAAATTGACCACAATAGAACTACTGCTCTGGTATTCAGGATAGTAGCTGAAGTGAACCAGATGATTTAGCTATTGATAAACAGGACTGAAATTCCTATTTCCTGCTAAACTTAAAGCCTCAGGGCCTCCCCGGTGGCGCAGATGGTTGAGTGCAACACTGTGAAGCTGTCCGCAGCCTCTGCAGTGCTGGTTTGATCCCCGCCAGCTGTGGAGAGACCCACATGATGCAGCAGACCTCTCCTCTCTTGCCCTCTGCTCTCCTCAGCAGTGTATTTCGCCAGTCTGCCTGTTCTGTTCCCCGTTCTGTCTTTGGTGAATCCTCTCACCTTCCACACATCTGGCCCATATCCCGGTTCTTGTATAAATAAATAAATCTAAAAAAAAAAATTAATAAACTTAAAGCCTCAGGCTACCCTTTCTAGAAAACAAATTTATTAAAAATCGCTTGGGTTAAGTGTGATGCCAAGCAGAACCAATAACTTGTAAAATCTCAGGATAGGGTTCTGGAAATCTGTAACAAGCAATCTATGTGTTTGCTATGTAGGCAACCAGGCCCTCTGCTCTGGGTTCCTTTCAGGTAGGCACCTGCCATGAAGCCTCTGTCACAGTGAGCTTTTACCTGGGGTCCAGCTCCAACTTCACCTTCCCCAGTACATGCATGTGGGGGCGGGGAGGTCAGGGCAAAATTGAGCTTAGTGCAGCCAGTTTCTACGTTTTTTCCCCTCCATAATAGTGTCTTTAAGGCACACAGTAGACAGAACATATTAGAATAAGTGAGAGGCCTGGAATTCTATCATTTTAGTAGCTAGTGGGAGAAAAGAACACTGTAGCACTTGACCTGACTCTGGATCTGGTTGTCAGTTCTTATATTGTACCACCAATTCATTAAGACTAGATTCACTTGGAAATTCTACAAGCCAAGAAATGTGCACTTGTGCTGCCTACACAATTCTTCTCTCCTCCCACCCCTTATCTCAATAAATAATCTCAGGTAAAATTTGTTGTGAAGCAGGGAGAATAGGCAAAAATCTTTGTTATTGTTGGGAATTGAAACTGCTAGGAGACCGCAGGTGGAAAGAGCTGGGTAATTCAGATGCTATGCCTTGAAAAGCAGAGGGATGTAGGAGAAGCATATAGGTTTCCTGAAAGAGCAAATGGTTCCAATGAAAAGGCTGCTTCACCGCTGTGTGCATAAAACATGGCTCCATCATCTAAGTGGTCAGAGACAAAATGGCAGCAAGCTCTCTAGTGAAAACTGCAGTCTCTAGAGAAGGTGGTCAGTTAACTTTTAGATTGGGGATGGAGGAGGGAAAGGAAGTTTTTGAAGTTTGTATGTGCTTTTTGGCTCTTCCCTCCAGGAGTTAAAGGTGAGTATTAATGCCATTTTCTATGACTGAAAAATTCAATCGAATCATCTAGAAATTTCACTAACTTGGGCAAAAGGGCTAAGCACATTACAAGAAGAATAAAATGATAAGCAGCTTGTCATTGAGAGTCTTTGCAACCCTTTATTTCTAAGGGTTCCTGTCTCCTGAAAGGAATGGAAAATAAGTGATGAAAAAGTCAGCAATTAAAATAGTAAATAGATCAATAGGATAAAAGGCTCAGAAATAGACCCAACTCTCAATAGAAATCTGAATTTACAGAAATACTCTGTGTGTGTGCGTGTGTGTGTGTGTGTGTGTTACATAGAAATACACTGAAGGTGGCATCTTAAATCACTGGCAAAGATGGATTTAAAGAATGGTACTGGAATAATTGGATAACGTGGAAAAAGATAAAAATAGATTCATTTCTTACACTATATGCATCAATAAACTCCAAATTAATCTCAATGTAAAAAAACGGCAAGTAGATCATGTTTATTAAAAACAAAACTTTTTCCCTAAAAGAACAAGATACAGGCATTCTCTGTTATCATTCTTGACTTAGCATTTCACTAGAAATGCTGGTGGTGACTATCTAAAAGCAAAAAGAAAATACCTTTTTGCAAAATGTCTATCTTATAA